AATATTAACTTTATTAGGATAGTTTTTACAGAATTCCATTTAAAGCAATAGTTATTTAGATATTTAAGTTTTTAGTTCGTTTAATGTAAACAGAACCTGAACCAAGGTACACAAGCACAAATGGCACCCCAGGATAGCCTAGAACAATGTAATAACAACATAAAACATAAACAAAGCCAAACAAACTCAATTTGGTAAAAGTGCTCTTACTATATTAAAAGGTGTCCATGCTATAGTAAAAGGTACCCATGCTATAGTAAAAGGTGCCTATCCTATAAGAAAAAGTGCCTATTCCTTAGTAAAAGGTGCCCAATCTATTATTTCAATCATTATAAGGTGCCTATCCACTATCTTGAAGTGCCCATCCAATATCAAAAAATGACCTTCCTATAGAAGAAAGTGCTCTTCCATTAATAAAAGATACCCTTTCTTAATAAATTACTATGTTTCTATAGTAATTTAATATTCCGAAAAAAGATATTTAGACCTCTCTACTTTTCCTAAGGCACAGAAACAGCTGGTCTTCTTATTTTGGTCCTTATAATATGGAAATTATATACTTTTGTCTTTGAAATAAACTTTTTATTGTCTTTGTTTTTAAATTTATATTAGGAATAAGTCTTATTTTTGTATAATCTTTGTTGGAAATAAATTCTTTTTCTGTAATATTTTTCTGAGATTTGTATTTTATTTTTACTGAGTTATATTTTTGCTTTATATGAGCTATTCTTTGAGTATTATCTGAGTTAATAAATATATTTTTTAGTATAAAAACTGTTAGTTATAACCTTTTCTTTGTTGATGTCGCATTAGCAATAAGTCGACAATATTTTATTTTGTTTAAAGTTATTTTCTGTTATAAAATTATATAAAAACACATTTCTTAACTACTTGAACACTTAGTCAAGTAGTGTGACTTATTAACCAAAAGTCTAACAATATTATATTACAGTTTGGCAACGATGACAGGACCAGAATTCTCTTGTATTATTTGTGATTTCCAATACTATTTTTGTTAAAAACCTCTTCTTTTCTTGTTATACTCTCTACCTTTTTGTTTTCAAATTATTTATAAGTTAGTTTTCTCTTTCTTGACAATAATATAAAGTAATAGCTGTATTTGTGAATAGTACTTTGGCAGGTACTAGTCTTGTATTATTGGAGTTTAAAAGCTATATATAACTAATTACGGTCTGGTTATTAGTACTTCTTCCTCTGACTATATCTAAAGATATTTTTAAATTTAAGTGGCTAATAATCCTTGTACAGGGCAAACAAATTTTCGTTATACCTGGCTAACACAGAAAAACCAATAGGTATCAGCCCCATAATTGATCTATTGTTTCTTATAGTATCTTGAAAATTATTGAATTTAAACTCATTATTCACCTATTAATTTTTTTTTAATTTTTTTTAAAAAAAATCTGTCTATAAAGTTAATCCTTACCAGGTTAACAGTGTCCTGGATTTCTATAGTTTTTATATAATTTATCAAAAATATTAGTATTACAATTACAATCAATTAGGTCAATTAACTTTCAAGATATTGTAGTTTTTCTTTTCTTCTTTTCTTTTCTTATTGTTTTATTTATTTTATTATATTATATTATTTATTTTTATCTTTATATTTAAATTTTTATCAATTATATTTTAATATTTTTCTAAGCTATATATCAAATTAACTTGGTATACCAATCAATTCTCTTGAAAAAAAATCTTGAGAGAGCTAAAACTTGTCTCTCTTGATAAAAGCCCAATATGACCAGTAGAAGTACCTATGGTTATTAATGTCTCTTGGACTAAATGTTTTTTAAAAACCCATCAACTATATGCTCAAGCAAAGTATGGTAAAAGAATTAAAATGCTTGCTTATAGCTATCATTTGGGTGTATTAATGATGGCTTGTCCAAAAAATAAAGAGAAACAGATTAATCCTAAAAATAAAGCCATGTAGATTAGAATATACCATCTTTTTAAAACTGTTGGGTACTATAATATTTATAGGACAAAAAAATTAAAGCCTAAACATATATATTATTTAGATGAAGAACATTTTAAAAAATTGTTAAAATATTTTTATTAATATTCTTGCTTGTAATATTCTTATTTTATTATTTTTTTTAAATTTTTAGTTTCTTTTCTTTTTAAATAGGTCTAGTATAATATGATGTCTAGAACAGTTTAGAGCGATGGTTGGAGCTCTATTCAATTTTTTATATATATTTTTTTATTTTTTATAAACTAGTAAAAAAAAAAAAAAATTTATATATATATATATGAGAGATGATTATATATAGTTTTAGCAAGAAATTTTTACAAATATCATGAAGTAGAAGAAATAATATTTTAATACCATTTGAACAATATACTTTATATCTAGGGAATATGAGCTCTATTGACAACCTCGCTATTCAAAATTGGATAAAGTTGGATATGAAATATTTATATTTAGGGAATATGAGCCCTATTGACAACTTCGCCATTCAAGTTTGAATAAAGTTGGATATAAAAAAATAATATTACTTTCATATTTAGAAAACATGAGCCCTATAGACAACCTTGCTATTCAAGTTTGGATAAAGTTGGATATGAAAGAAAGAAATTAAACACAAGATGTTATATTATTTGACAATTAATTTATTTACAGAATTTTGAAAAATTTTATTATTGAATTTAAAAGTTTTATTTATAAAAAAAAAAATTATTATACAATTGTACTATCTGATTTCTTCTCTGCATCTACAAATATTTCTTCTGCTACTTCTTCAACTTCTTCACTTCTTCTATTCTTAATTTATACTTTTCTACCTTTTTCATGATGAAGCTCCTCTTCTGCATTTTCTAATCTTGCTTGAAGTCTATTTCATTCTACAATTAATTGAGAGAATTGTTCTTCTCTTTGCCAATTTCTTGCTACCAAGTCTACTATGATTTCTTGTTTTTTATTAATAGTTCTATTAAGACTATTAATTTGATTGTTTAAGACTCTAATTTGTTGTCTTAATTCTTGAATCTCTCTCATCAATTTAATGATTAAGATCTATAATAATTTTATCAATAATAGATTCATTAATAGTAAATTTATCATTATTGTTTCCAGTATTAGAATTATTAATGATATTTTTTTCTTGGTGATTAGTTGTATTATTAATTCCTTCTTCTTGATAAGAACTTAAATTAATAGTCTCTTCTTGATTGTAATTTACTAAGAATGGGTCCAAAGTATTATTTTGTAAAAAGTTGAGCCAAAAATTATCTATTGTAATATTATTATAAAAGATAGGGTATAATAAATAGGACAAAAAAAAGTAAATGATACAAAGATAAAATATTGGATATTTTTATAAGTTTTAAAGGAGTACGATATTCATTTTGTTTGTTTGTATCATTTCTTTGTGAAATTATTAAACCTAATTTGTAAAACTAATTTTCTTTCATTTTTTGTTAAACAAAAGAACATAAATAATAAATCAATTTGCTATAAAAAAAAACTAAAAACCAAAAAATTAAAAATAGAATAAAAATTTAAAAGTATAACAAATATCTCTAAAATATAAAAATTATAAATAAAGTTAAAATAAATTTAAAAATATTAATTAAAAAATTACTAAATATTGTTTTCAAAAATAAAAGAAATTTACTATAGTACTAGTACGTTATCATAACCTCTAGGTTGACAGAGTTAACAAGTCCACTAGTTGGATTTAAACGTACAACCTTACAATGGCTATACATCTTCACCATTTTACTATAGTAGGTATAATTATAAAATTTTTTGTCATACAGTTTTTGAAGATTAATTTTCTAATTAAAGTGTCCAATAAGATTAAGCTTCTTCATATGATCCAAATTAAAGTTTGTTGTATTTAATAAGATATACATTATTCTGCATAATCTTTGTTTTAAAAAAAATTCTTTTTTTTAACAAACGTTAAATATAAAAATTTTTGTTAAAAATATGTTATTTCACTTTACGTTGACGTACCAGAGCTCAAAGAAGAGATGGTACTCAAGCTCTTTATGAAGCTTTAGATTTTGTTCAAGTGACAAATAGAAGATAATAATAATAATAATAAATAAAAATAATATTGATATTGAAAATAATAAAAATAATAAAGAGAATAATAA